TAACTTTATCATAAAACTTGGAGAGTTTATGCTTTACCTCTTGCAAGTAGCCGGCAGATTAAATTAAATTATTATTGATTGTTAAATTAAATTGTATTTGAAATTGTTACCTTAACATCATTACTTGTTATAATCATTTTAATTGTTCTTCACATATATATTATTCTTTTTATTATATTATTTATCATTTTATTATCTATTTTGTTAATAATTATCTCTGGAAGATAATTTCTTTTTGCTAAAATTATATTACTACCAACTACTCAAAGTTTATTTTTTTTTATAAAAGATTCTGTAACTAGATTTCATAACCAAAATATTATTAATCATAAAGCCCAATATACAAATTTCTCTGCTCTTGCTGTTGACATTATATTTGCTGGCAAAACACAGACAAATCCCAAATTCAAAAAAAACAATTGCTATTTGTAAAAGATTAAATCAAAAAAATAATTTTAAAATTTTGCAAATATATTATTTACAACAATAAAAATATCTACTATTTATTTAAACAAAAATTATTAATAAAGTTTTTAAAAAATTAATTTGGAATAAATTTGGAATTTGGGCGTAAACAAATCCCAAATATAGTAATTTGAAATTTTGCTAACATGTATAGTTAATATACTTCAATATAATACACCTGATTTATCTTTTTATATTTGCTCTTCACCTCATCAAACAAGCCCTTATACTTCACTAAAAATTTTCTGGGATTGGTATTCTGATACTTACCATGCTGAATTTTACACTCACAACACCCAAACAAATTTCTTTATATTAGGAACTATATATAATTCAACTGAAGCCCAAGTTGCTGCCAGAAATATTATTTTTAGTTACTGTTATACTTAAGATATTAGTGATATCAGAGCTATTGTTTTTGTGTTATTCCAAAGATACACCTATTTTAATAATATACCTGATATTCTATTCGCTAATAGAAATCACTATGATAATTATATTGACTTTTTTGATTACAGAAGGATAATTACTGGATCTATTGTATATCAAAATTTTCTTCCAACTTTAGACCAAGCTACATATCATACTTCTTAACAAAAAATTGCTATTACTACTTATACTGACTCCAATATTACTGTTGCTAAACTATTTGCTGTAAATCCTACTCAACAAATTGCAGAAACTTTAAAACCTTATAGTGGTGATAATAGGATATACAATAATTTATCTTTCTAGCTTTATTAATCTCCATATAGAAGGAATCTCATATTAACTATTCACACTACCAACCAAAGACAGTACCAATATCAACTATACATGCTGCCGAAATTATTTCAGGTTTTGAAACCCGAAATTAAAAATTTTTTCCAAAATTGTTTTTGACCTATTTTACTTAAAACCTAAAACTTTTTGATACTTTTTTTGAATAGACCAAAATATAAGGAATATAAATATATAAATTTTATTTGCACTTCCTTATAAAAAATTTTAATTTATTTTTGAAATCCCAAAATAGGCTTTTTTTAAAAATTAATTTCGGTAGCATATATAATACTGATCACTTTTTGTTTATAGAATTTATTCAAATCATATTTAAGAAATTTCTTTTACTAGCACACCTCATACACCTCTTGGATCCTTAACTGCATGTGTATTAAATTATCAACAAGCTAGAAACTTTGACCAAGAAGCTAAGGATCTTTTAAATCAACTTTAACGATTTCCAATACTTGACTAAGAATTAGAGAACAAAGCTTTGAAAACTGCTACTATTCATAATTAGGAAGAAAACTCTAATTAAGAAGAAAATCCTGAACTTAGTACATGAAGAAGAAAACCTTGAACCAGAAGAGGAACTTGACCAAGAACTTGAGCATAATGAAGAACCTATTGAACCAGAAGAGGAACCTGATTTAGAATTTAATAATAATAAAGAACCTATTGACAAAGAAGCCATGAACGTCACTGCAAAAGCTATGATCCAGCTCATTAAAACTATAGAAAAAGGAGAAGCTGGTGAAAAGAATTTGGTCAAAATAAAACCTTTTTTAGGTAATAGTATCCAAGACCCACTTGACTGGTTAGAAGAATTTGAACATGCTGCAAAAGTTAATAGTTGAAGTAAAGCTCAAAAACATGATTTAGCTAAAGTCTATGACTAGAATTGCTAGTGAATGGGTTCAAAAATATTTAAACACCCAAATAGTACATTATGATCATCAGGATCATCAAAATATTAGTTTTAAACCTCTTTTTAAAGCAAAGTTCTTTACAATTTGACAAAAAGCAAAATGGTAACAACAACTCTTTGATTTTAAACAAAGAAATGATACTGTTGATACCTATATATCAAAATTTAAAAACTTAAATCATAAAGTTGAAGGTTTAGAGGAGTTACAGATATTATGTAATATATTTTTAATAATAACAACCCCCTCCTCCCCACATAAGATATTATTTTAACCAATCAAAATAAACCTATATATATATATATATATATATATCCCTTAAACTGTCAATATAACTACATATCTACTATGATTTAGACTACAATTTAATATAATTTAATAGCTTAATTACAGATCAATTATAGGCAAATTAACAATTTAAAGAATAGTATATATATGTTTGTTATATATATTATACAATCTTTTAAATAGTTAGATCTTATTTGATTTTAAAAAGTGATACAAAAACTTTGTATAAATCATAGCGCTATCAAGATTATGGTCTTTAATAATCATTTAAGGCCAAAATACATATCAATAAACTAGAAGTCACACCTTTCTATATTAGTAGAGATGTTAATTGACTCAAACTGCTTGTACATTTTTAATAATTATTTAACTGAGTCAAGTCAGATATATTAGTTATAGAACTAACTTTATTTTGCTATATATGATAAAGAGAACAAATTTTACCAAACTTAAATAACCAAAACAATTTGTTCTATATCATATTATCAGCTTGCATTGTCCTACAACCTTTGTGGTATTATAAAATATGTCAACTTTAAAGTTTGACATGTTTCCCATATGTCAAAAAAAAAAAATAAATAAATAATTTGAATGATGTATCAATTTTATAAATTATTATATTTATTTTATAGCTTTTATTTTGTGCTATTTTTCTATATATCACTTACATTCAATAATACAAACCTATCTTGCAACTCCAAAGTTTGACAAAGTATTCTGCTATAAAAAACCAAGTTCAATCTATCATTATTTTTGTAATGCTTTTGCATATAGATGAATGGTTCATACTAAAAATCCTAACTACAATCGCAAAGTTTTATTTCATTAAGTGAACAATAAGTGGAAAAAATACAAAAAAAACAAAGACATTTAAAAAATTATTGATAATTTTTATAATACACCAATCCTGCTACAAGGATTTCTTATTATATATATAAGACACTTGGCTAATTCACAAGCAGATACACCAATTCAAATAGTCTAATTGCTAACCCAAGAGCAACCTGAAATGCTTTGTACAAATGCTTTCGCTCAAAAAAAAACTTACAACCAAATAAAAAAAACAGAAAAAAAATTTTTAGAATTTACTTCTTTTTATAATGCTACTAATAATTTTCAACTTTGTCAGGACTTTCATAGACATATCAAAAGTTTAAAAAATAACCTTGAAGAAAAAAAAAAATAAATTAAATGAACTCAAATGGAATGCAAATTATTAGCAAAAATACAAATTAAAAAAAAACAAATTTAATGGAAAACAATGAAGTTATAGTATATAATCATGCTAGCCATTCTCTGATTCTTTTTGAATATCCTGATCTTCTTGAACATATTCATAGTTCAATCGAATTTGGTGAGGCTGATGCTAAAAAGAAAAAGGAAGTTATCAAAGTTCAATCAGTAGTACATTTACAAGAAGAGCTGAAAAATAATTATATTACCAAATAATAAAAATTTAATTGTAGCCAGAACACATCACCATCTTGCGATAGTAGGGATTGCTAATATTTTCAGAAGTGAAAAAAAAAAGTACAGTATATTAATTCCCATTATTGTTTAGCCTCAATAAAGGCATCAAAATCATTCGCAAGTATATTCTCTGATATAACTATAATGATATTACAAGATGATAAAGCTAAAGTTAATATTGGTATACCCGCTATAGGGTGCATATTTCAAACAGTACAATCACTTGTTGAGCTTGTAAAAGTAGAAGATTATGATTTCCAATAGAGGCATCTCAGAAATTGGTTCCAAGTGTATATTTGATGATCAATCTGGCTAATTCAAATAATACAATAAGAGCAGGGCAACTTGCAATATATGTATAACCCCAGTGGCATCTTGGTACAAATTTTTCAACACACATGCAGGATTTGGGGTTGAGTCAATAGAAATCAAGCAAATTTTTTTTAATAAGTTTTTTTAAAACTTTAAACAAGGATAACTTAACAAAAACTTAATTAAATTTAATAAACATTTTTTTAAATTAATTCTACAAGTTTGTAAAAATTATTTTAAAAAATTTTTATTAAATTTTGTCAAGTTTTTGTTAAGTTATTCTTGTTTAAAGTTATGAAAAAATTTTATCATAAAAAATTTGCTTAATTTCTATTGACTTGCCCCCATTTGATCAATCTTGAATCAATAAAAGAGTATCATGAAGTTTTTAAAATCAATAACAATACCAAACCAATTTGGATAATACTAGTGAACAGAGGTCTCGATGAAAATCTAAGATTTCTTAAAAATATATATCAGTATTGCTGCCTATTCAAAAAACTTGATTTTGACTACCTTACTGTATATACCAATACTCCAGGTCAATCTGCATTTAATCTTGTCAAAAGAGCTATGGCCAGCTTGTCTACAAAACTAGGAGGAGTTTCCTTTTGCATAGATATATTTGGCAACTATCTTGACACCCAAGATAAAGTTATAGATAAGAAACTTGGGCTAAAAAACTTCTGGCATGTTGGTAAAGCTTTGTGCACCATTTGGTGGTATGATAGAATTTTTGGTAAACCTGTCTACTGTGAATATATTAATGAATAGCCAATGCCTTTTTTGGATATTGTTTTTGAGAAAAATGTATATGATAGTGAGGAAATTAATAATAAAGATGAAAACCAAGGCAATAATAAAACAAACAAACCAGTTCTATAGGCTTGAATTGAAGAGTATACACAAATGTATAAATATTTATTAGATATAAAAAAATGTTTAAATCCAGTATGCTGTTCACAAAAAAAAGCCCTCAAAGTTACTTTTTTTCTTGAGCCAACAAATGGTTTTCTTCCACCAGTAATTCTAGGCAAAGACAACTATTTTTTAAACCCAATACACATAGTGTAGTATCTAGATTCAACAAAATCAATGAAATATGACAAGTATTGCCTATCGATTAGTACTGAACAATATGAATGACTCACATGCCAAATATACAAAAAATACTTTCCTACTTATGTTTTTCTTAAAAATCACAGGTGGTTTGCCTACTCAGACTATTCTAGTAAAAAGTATGAATTTCAAAATGATTCAATAACTAAATATTCATCAAGAATCAGACTAATAGTTATCAATTACCATGTTTAAATACACTAAGTGCAAATTTGTCTACACTACAAAGCCATCCTAATAACAATTTTCAAAGAGTGACAAGTGAACAACAAGTAAGTTCACTATTAATTTAATAGAGAATTTGTAACATATGAACTCTTAACTTAGGGCTGTGTTATTAATCATCTGATTATTTTTTATCAAAGGTTTGCCCCTCCTCTCTCTTTCTTAATATACAAATAGTCAGGTTCTTTATATATAATTTCAACTTTTTTTGCCCCCCTCCTCTCCTAAAAAATCACCTGATTTTTGTCAGCTCCCTTATAGTTTGGCTCAATGTTTTAAACAGAGAACTGAAATACATACGCTGTTTTCAAATAGTATATCCATAGTAGAATCCAATTCAATTAGTTGGCAAAATCAATCTTTAATAAGAAAATCAGAAGTAGTAGCTGTTTTAATTTAGACTTTCAAATTAGAATAAGTTTTACTTAGTAAAGCTTTTAATTGATACCTTTTTCTTGTATCTGAACAAGTAATATTTAGGTTACTAGAAAATATTAATTGATTTATAAATATAGGATTTTTCATATTTTGTAATCGAAAATAAAAATTTATCTTTAGAGTTTACTTTGTCTACATTTACTATAGTACCAAATACATGACTAAAGTTTATTTTTTATATAGTTAAAACTGTATTAATCGGTTTGATATATGAAAAATAAACCGGTTCTAGTGTTTAGTTATGTAAATTATATTTGTGATGCTAATTGGCTAATTAGATAACTTGTGCTATATAAGATGCCATTAACCTCCTATACAATATTACATAATATTTGCAACTTCTCTTATCTGAACAATTTATTTGCCAATATTTTATTCAAGAATTATGACCAGAATTTGTCATACCTATTTAAGCTGCTAAACTTAATAATCTTAATAATATCAATCTAGCCCAACAACAAACCAAACTAGCCTATACTGCAAAAACTAGACAAAGCTTATCTAAGGATGCTGCTATTTGTTACTTTTGTAGCAAGAAAGGATATTTCTTTGCTAATTGTTTTAAAAGAAAATTAGGAGAAAATAGAAGTAATAAAAGAGACAAAAGCAATAGCAATTACAATAACAATAACTATAACAATAATAACTGAAGAAGCAATTACAATGATAGATCCAACAATTATAGATGAGACAGAAGCAAAAGTCAATTATGTGATAAAAACAAAAACAGAAGTAAAGACAGAAACTATTCTCATAATAAAAGTAAATTTAGGGATAGAAGTTAAGAAAAATAGGGATTCAGATTTAACCACTCACCCTCACCCTACTATCGAAATATCAACTTAGCTAAAAAATCAAACTCTAAACCTAACTCTAAACCTTCTAATAATTAGAAATGTCTGTTGGACAACTACTCTATTTGCATTGCTCTTACCGCATATATTACCAATATGAACCAAGAAAACACCAAACCAACTCCAGAGAATAACAACAATATCACTCCTGCTAAGTGCTTTGTAGGCTTAAAAGACCAAATCTACTCTGCTATCATAAATAGTAAAGCCCTGTTAGCATGATTGTTTATAAAGTTGTAAAGGAGTTATTACTAGAAATAGATGAACCTTTCAAAAGTTTGATTGTAGCTGCTACTGGAATCATATCTAGACTCCTAGGTATTATTAAAATCTACCTGTTAAAATTTAAGATAAAACTATCCTTATTGATGTAGAAGTAGTACTTGCTACTTCATATTCTCTACTTCTAGGAAATGACTGGTCTCAGAAGGTTGATGCCAACTACAATTGGAAAAATCACCAATATACTATGTATTAAAAAAGAAAGAAATTAACCCTTGACACTTTTTATAAACAGAAGCAGCTCAAAGAAAAACAGCCTACTTGCATTATCTCAGAAGACTTTGAATTATATAAGTAGGAATACCTTACTTCTCATGAAGCCTATACTTTTACAACAACAAATAAAGGAAAAGAAGGATGGACTATCTATACACCTTGCTATAACAACTAGCTCATATATAAAACTTGTAGTCTTAGAGATCACTAATACAAAAGCTGCCTTCAGAACAAATGTTATTACTGCTATGAAAAAGGCCATATTTTCATTAACTGTCCTGGCAGTAGAGTTTGAGGTATGGGTAAAAAATTAGGCATGCCTTTGAGAGCATGCCCTAAGTCATGGCATGCCCCTCATGCCCACAGGTATGCCTTTTTTATATAAAAAATTAGTGCTTCATATTATATACTTATTTTACAGTGTTTAGTATTTTTTTTTGGTTTGTATTTGAATTATTATAACTTCTATTTTACTGTAGTTTACTATAAAAATTTTGTTATTGGTTTAATTAAAATATAAGAGTTATTGTAATTTCTATTATAGTTTAATGTAAAAAAATTCTGTACCAGAATTATAGTAATTTATTGTGAATTATTGTAAAAATTTTCCTAGCGACACATAAATTACAGAATTAGACTTGCATAAATTAAAATTTTATTGCTACAATAACTTATCTAAACAGTGATTATTAGACAGTATATGAGGTTTATAGTAATTAAAATATTAAAAAATTTACAACTCTGATGATCTCAACTTCTGATATGCTGGCCAATCAAATATGACGCATATATCACATGACTAGGGCATGCTTAATAGTTAAGTGGTATACCTGTAGGCATGCTCATGCCTCTGTGTCTTGAACCCTACTTAGCTAACAAAGTAAAAAAGCCAATTGCAAAAACTGTAATCAGACTACCACCTATTTAAAGACTGCTCTCTGAACTTATGTTTTGGTTGTAAACAGACTGGATATATCAAAATCAATTGCCCATTAACCCAACAAAAACTAGACAACCAGATCTACCGCTGTGGTTATAACAAAACCCAAGTTGAAGCTAAAAGATCGGTTCATCTTAGCAAACATAGAACCTATCATTGCTGCCAATGTTTAACTCACACAATGATCAAATAGTATATACCTCTTAGATAGCCAACTTGTCTGCACTATCTGTTACAAAGGTTTTTACAAAAGATTAAATTTTGATAACTCACAAAGCCAAGTATACTATCAGCCAGGATTAGGAAAAGGAACTATTATCAAATGTAAAGTTTGCAATCACTAATGACCTAGAATGAGAATACATAGATTAGAAAGTATTCAAGAAGAGCTTTGGTTCCTTGAACTAGAGCACATGTATGCTTATAAAGTAACCCAGGATTTACTTTATAACAAGAACTATGAGATTTGGACAAGAATCAGGTATTACACTAAATCCATCTATAATGCTGGACACTATACAACTTTAATCAAACTAGAATCTACAGACTCATTCAAGTTTTATTGAAGGAAGAAGACCATGTTCAAATTATAGAAGCATTAGAGAAACAAGAAGATAATCAATATAACCATACATGAACCTCTAATGAAATTACTATCCTTTTTAGATCGGACTATAAGAAAGTAAATTTAATCAAAAATGAAGAAACTACTCTACAAAGAATTTTACAGAAATCATTTGACACCTCTTTACCAGACTTTGACTTTCGCAAAGCTATAAAAAACTTACATAAAAACTTTGAAGAAAAAGTTGCTCTTTGCTTAGAGTGCCTTCTTGCTAAGCAAATTATAAAACTAGACCTGAACCAAGAATTTTGTAATGAGTGTTATTAGAAACTTAATAGATTTACACTACTTGAGGAAGCAGACCCAGAATCATCTACGTCCAACTCTTTAATAATAGTTAGAGAAGAACTAGAACCTATATCTAAAAATCGAAAAGGGAAAAAAAAAGAATTAAACCTAGAGACTCAACAACAAATTATTAAACACTTAGAAGCTTATATTAAATATCTAGAAGAGATAGATGAACAAATGACTAACTTCTTTAAGAACAAAATCCTATACCACCAGAAACATGCTAAATATTACTCTTAATTATTTGCTCACTAAAATCCTAGATATGATGAAAAACTACCTGATAAACCAGAAGAATTACTAACAGAAAAACAAGCTTTGCAGCTGGCTCTGCAAAGAAACACTAATAAATATAATTTTGTATATACTATAAACACTTTGATACTATACAAGAAGTATGTATTAGAAAAAACAGATATAGTAAATATCAGACCACTAACTAGAGAGCAAGAAAAGAAATTTAAAGCCTTGTTAGAAAAATTTTCAGATTTATTTGCAAAAGATATTTTCAAACTAGAACAAACTAGTCTTGTACAGCACAAAATTTATATAGAAGATATACTACCGATTAAATCTCAACCTTATAACGTATCTCCAGATAAACAAGAATTTATCAAGGATGAAATAGAAAGAATGATTGATAATAGAATAATTCAGCTCACAAAAAGTCCTTAAACATCCTCTATTGTTCTTGTATATAAAAAGAATAGCAAATTAAGATTCTGTATAGATTATAAAAAACTTAATAGAATTATCAAGAAAGATGCTTATCCATTACTGCGAATACAAGAAATATTAAACACCTTATCTGGATTAAAATGCTTCTCTACTCTTGATCTTGCTAGTAGATATTGGCAAGTTATGATAGACCCAAAGGATAAGAAAAAGACAGTATTTATCACAAAATATGGCACATACGAGATCAATATTAGTC